TAGAACAACTGTAGATGTTGAATTCGATAATTAATAATAACATTGTTCATTCCAACCATAAATTAGTAAGCCTGCTTAAAAGACTTCAGCAAGTAATTATGCTGTGTAAGAGATGGAAAAATAGGCAGCCAGAATGAAAGAAGCCAGATTGAGATAAAAGACTCTTGCAAATTTAAAAAATAAAGGAACTACTACTAATAATACTATTAGAAGAAAGGAGAAGGGTCTCACTGAAAATGAACTCAATAATGAACCTAAATAAAAGAAGAATAAGAGTAGACCAATTAGTGATAAAAGTACTCCTATGTTATATGTGGATGTTAAAATTGAGGATGGTAAAAGTGCTCGAATTGTAGTATTCGAAGGAGATACTTCAGTCAGTTTAGCCAATAAGTTTGCAAAAGAACATAGTAATAATATATATTTAACATAATTTAGAGTTGGATGAGAATATGAAAGAGAAACTTAAGGATTTGTTAGATTAATAGATTAATTCATATTTGATGAAGATTGAGGAAGAGTAAGAATAAGAAGATGATTGATATACATATATATATATTATACTTAAAATATAAATTATAATAATTAAAATGTATGTCAAATTTTAGACATAGTGACAAGTTCACAATTAAATAGTATTGAATTAAATAATTTTACAGCAATGTTTAATGAAGAACTAGGTGTTATAGATTATGAAGTAGAAAGTGATGAATCAATTTAAATGATTGATGATCCTTAGGATATTGTTATTCCAACTCCAATATAAGAATAAAAATAAATAACATAGTAGATTATATAATAAACATAACAATAATTAAATATAGAAAATACAGAAACTATTGAAAGACAATAACTTGAAGAAGAATAAATGTTACGTAGACCTTATGCATTAAGATGGAAAAAGAAATCAATTAAGAAATTAGAAAAAATTACATCTAAATTAACTAATTAAGATTTAGATGAAATTAAAGATGTTTTAACTAAAAAGATAGCAATATCTGAATCTAAAATTAATAATAGCAATTATAATAATAATAATAATCATAATAATGATGTTATTATTTCTGGTTCAATTTTAAAGAATCCATAAACAACACTTAATTAAGTTCAAAAATAAAAATAATTTTAAGTACTTGTTGAACATTTTGCAAATAAACCTGATTTTTTAGAAGCTATTATTGCTTAAGATTTGGAATAAGAAAATGCAAATTAAGATGGAGGAATACTTAAAAAACCAATGATAGTACCTCCAAAAGCAGGATTAAAGAAATAATAAGGTAGAAAAAAAGCAAATGTAACTTTTGAAGATTAATCATAACCACAAAATGGAGGAATTTAATTTATTAAAACTAGTGTTTTACCTTAAAAGTAACCTCCTCCACCTTAACCTCAATAATAAATTCAAAATATACTCTCTAAATTTTAAGAAATTAGAGAAAAATCAGTTGCTCCAATTTAATCTTAATAAACAACTACAATTTAAGAATCTTCTGATATACCTTTAGGTACAGGAGCTTGGTATCCTAATAAATAAGATATAAAGAGTCAACCATTTATACCACCTCATTCTGGATCAAATCCTAAAATGTTACCTACAATTAATTCTGTTTAAATGATCTCATAATCTTAGGCTGCTTAATAATCTTTAAATCATAAATTTCTTGGAATGAATCAAAATTAATCAAGAATTAGCAATAGTCCTTCTAGAGTAAGAGATATGATTACATAATAATATACTTCTTCATATTAAGTTGATAGACCTCCCATTATGCCAAGTAGATAATAACCTGTTTTTTAATAATAAATATTAGAAAAGAATATAAATTATGAATTAAATTAAGCAAAGAAAAATAAAGAATAATTGAGTAGTCATTAATAATCTTAACTTAGAGAATCTTAAATAAAATTATAGGCAAAAATATAAGAAAGTGTTAAAAGATAAAGTGTTGTTTAGCCAACTATAGAGGAAAATGATTCTGATTTTATGGATGATGTTATGGATAGTTAAGCATTTATAGATTTTAAGAGAGCTGGTAATTTAATTTGTGGATCTTAATAATAAACATAATAATAATACTGGTAGGAAATTAATTTTAATACAGATATTCCAAAAGATTATTATATGAATGAAAAGTTTAGAGTAGATTTAGAATAAGAGATTGAAACAAGTGATCCTTATGAATTATTTAAATTGTATTTTGATTAAAGCATTTTCAAATACATATGTCTAATATCAAATAAACGTTAATGTATTAGAATTGATGAAGATATATTGGAATCATTTATCTCAGCCTTAATATACATTTTTTATATATAATTATTGGGTATGAGAGAAATAAAAAGAGTTAGATTTGATCATATACTAGATTATGTAACATTTGGTCATATATGTAAAGAAATTCGTATTGATGAATTAGAAGATTATTCATTTATTTTTGATAAAATAAGTAAGAATTTTAAAAGTCATTATTAACCAGAAGAATTTTTAACACTTGATTCTCCTATTTTCTATTAAAATCATAGTGTTGAAGGTCTTATATCACTTTCTGATGGAATGAAAGGATATGTATTAGATTTTATTTATGGAATAAAAGATTAAAAGATTCTTCATAGTTTATAAAATTATTAAGGAAAACATCATAAATTATATTTAGGACCTGAAGTATCATCTTTAAATTTGATCAGTCAATTAAAAAAGAAATAATTTGGTTCATTGGCAAAAGTAATAGACAAATAGGTATTTATTTATTATAATTAGACCCTACTTACATAAGATTAGATATAAGATGTAAAATAAAATGCATAAAAAGGTTAAAGCACTTAATATTTATCATCTGATAATTAGACAATATTACTTATTTATGCAGAAAGACAATAACATTTATAATAAGTAGAAGGATTTGTATCCTCATTTGCTGATTTTACTAGACTAAAACCTCAAGATACTAAAATTAAGAGTGATATCAATAAACCTATTATTTTATATCTTTATGATAAAATTAAGACATAATATGATAAACGAGGTAAAACTTATTAATATTCATAAATACCTCATTAAAATGGCAATTAACATTTAGAAATATTAGTTTAATTAGTTTATTCTAGTATTTATAATGCTAATATATTAAATAAAATTAAAAATTAATCAGCTTCATTAACACCAGATAAAGCTAAATAAATGTATTTAGATTTTGTTAAACAATTATTACATTAATTCTATGTACGTAGTTTGAAAAGAAGAGGTATTAATTAGTTTCCATAGAATCACACTTTGGAATCAGGAGACACTGGTACTTTTAGTTGTATTGAATGTGGAGAATCTAGTTAAACTATTTGTAGAGAATGTTCAAATCATTTCTAAATGTTAATTCCTGTCTGCAGAACTAAAAATGAATAATGTTTAAAATCACACATAGAAATGTTATTAAATCAACCAAAAATTACAAATACTAATAGAAAACTTACAAATAAATAAGCTATTGTTAAATTTGAGTTTTATCGTTCTTAAATTGAAGCGTCTAAGGATTCCAATGCTTAATCTGCTTTACCAGTTATTGAAGATACTCTATAATAATTGGATAGTTTGGATCCTGATGAAGAATTATCTATTGGAATCTAAACTTTATTAGTTTCATTGTCAGATTTAATATCAAAAATGTTTCAATAACCTAACGTATTAGTTCCACAGAAAACTCAATAAAATAGATAAGATGTCTACACATTGAATTAAATAGATCCACCAATAAAATCAGCATAACAATTATAAAAATCAATCTCTTAAGTTTATTAAAATTAATAAGAAGTTATTCATAGTTCTTAAATTGTTCCTTAAATAATTAAAACAAAAATTGGAGAATAAATGAATATAGAATCTTCCATTCAAAAATTATAAGCTAGAGTTGCCAGAATCAATAAATGATATATATCATAATATAATATTTATTTAATTGTCTATAAAATATATATTTAAAGTCTAAAATAAAATTGAATTGCTACACAAATACTAATATATAATGAATCAAATTTCTTATCCACTAGAAGCAACATTGAGTATTTAAAATAATGCTGAACCAACTACAACAAAAAGAAAGACACCAAGAAGGATTGGTCCAACTGGAAGATTTTCCTCTTTTTTCTATAAATATATTAGTATAATCCATTACAATTAATGATTTTGGCACTTTTCCTTATTTATGAACATTACCTTGGTAGTTTTAACTTCTCAATTTCATAGTTTATGCTGATGGCTATATAGGGTTAACATATAATCAATACCATTGTGGTTTATGATGTTTTTGTAAAGTATTTTAATTAATGAAATCACACGTATTATTATTATATGCTAAAAAAAGCATTAACTTATTGTCTTTAAGATGATGACCCAGTCTAAATTTCTGAATTAATAGGTGTTCGAGAATATTAGAAGTAACCAAAAATATGTCAAAGCACCTTTGTAACCTCTTCTGATTTGAAATAGATGATAATAAACTAAAAGAGAGAGAACAGTATATAATCATATCGCAAAATTTAACATTATGATGCTGACTTAAAACCAATTAACCGAACATTCGATTGTAAATAGTCTTTGTACTAAAATACTTGCAGAAAATAAATCAATCTCAAAATGATTCATGAACCTAATAAACCTAAATTGTACTTTGGAATCAAACATTAATAATTTAAAGTAAAATTATTCTTATAAAGAATATTAGATAAAAATCAAAATGCAAGGTAAACGTTTAGAGGACATGTTCTGAATATAAAACTTTGACTAATTAATTTATTAATTTTTATTTCCTTATCAATTTTAACATATTGCAATTACTTTGTAAAATAGAATATTTAATCGTCTAAAGTGATTGAATTCAGTATAAGTGGCATCTACATTTGATGATATAGGAATCTTGGCTGATTTTCCAACAATAAGGACACAAGTTTAGGATTCAAGTAATAAAGTGAGTTAAGAACCTATCTCAAAAAGTTTAGAAATTTATATCTATATGATAACATGTTATTTAGAAACAAGAAAGGATCTAAAGACTTTAGTGAAAACAAAAAAAAAAATGATCCTAACATAATATCAATAGTTCTAAATTATCTTCATAGTCTCCTTTGGAAGAGGATATGAAAATCACTAAATTGAGTATTATGAGATCAGAAATATTGAGAAATAAGGTTTCAGATATTCCTAAACATAATAATAATCCTTTATCAAATTGTTCTAAAAGATTATCTAATATTAACTCAGAACCGACTTAATTTAAAACTTACTAGTTTTATTTCTATCCATAGCTGGAACAATAAATAACCAACACTTTTAGAGATCAAACTGAATATTTCTATTTATTATTAATAACTTATTATCTATAAACTTCTAAATAATCAAGGTAGATAATATTATAAAAATAATTTTATTAAGTAATTTAGCATAACTTTATTAATTGATATAAAAATTAATGAAAGCTCCATTAGGATAATTTGGAGTTAATGAGAATAGATTTAAAGAATAAAAATTATTAGTTCCTGGTCCAGGATCATATGAAGTAGATAAAAATGATGATACAAAAAAAGATAAGAAATTACCAGAACAAAAAGGAACATATGCATTTATGAGTCATGCACCTAAAAGTTAAGATTTATCAATTCCAAATATAAATCCAGCTCCAGGTGCTTATAATATCGAATAAAAGAACATTTAATATTATATTTGCTGAAATTTGAAAATTATATTAATTATCATATTAATAAATCTCCTTCTCTAAAAAAAGGAAAACTTAGAAACTCATTATACCAATAAAAAACAACTAAAAACTTTTTCCATCTTACATCAAATTTAAGAGACAATCAAGAACTACAAGTTGAATTAAATTCCAGTATTGAAACTGATTAAAAGTTAGATTATGATTTATTAATACAAAAAATGGAGTATGCTCTTATTCTTATATATATAGGTTATAATCTTTAAGTGATTCTAATCTACTCAAATACTCTCTGGTTTAATTCCTCTAGAGGATCTAATAAATATCCACCTATAAAAAGAAAACCCATAGAAATCTCATAATAACATACTTATACATAAAATTATCATTTTTCATTAGAAATAATTTGTTTTTCTATGTATTGTTAACAAATAATCATAATATCTTATTTTAATAGGAATATGAATATTAATGTTTAGAGATTAAAAGATACATATTTGTGTTTCTGTTATGAGAGATAAAATAGAATAGAATCTTAATTTATAAACATATGCCTTAAAGATATCTCTCATAATATATTAATAGTTAAGTTTGTTTTTTTTATTTTACATAATTAACTAGAAGTTAGGATAGCATTGATTTCAAAATTCTAAAAATTTGTCAAATTTTATGGCAAAGAATTGATGATCAATCACTTTCAATAAACACAATCTTTTCTATAATGTCCTAGTCTTTCCAATAGTACAAAAGAATAAAAGGAATAGATATCCGAATAAAAGATTCAAGAATATTAGAAAATATAGTACTATAAATTAGTATATAATATGCCATTATTATTCCTATTGATCTTTTTCAAGTTTAAAAATTATAAATAATGGTTCATGAATAATAAAATTAATTTAAATATTAAAATTTTTAAATTAATAGAAAATGAGATAAATACTCATAATTCAATCTATGATAATAATTATTAAACAATAATAGAATTGAAAAGAAATATTTATTTTTTTTACAAAAAATCGTACATTCATAATTTTAATTTGAATTTAGGATATTTTATGTTATTATAATTTATAAATAATTAATGACAACTGCACTGTCAAAATACAATAAGACTTTGGAATTATAAAGCATTGTGGATGACAAATTTAATAAAATCTTTAGCTCTGAATAAGTTTTTGAAAAAATAGTCAACTTTTTTATTGAAAAATTGAAAAAAGAGGATGATAAGAAATTGGCTATTGGATATCTAACTGATAAATTTCCTGATAATAATTACCTTAATTAAAAGAAAAGAATGTTAGCTGGATCATGGTTTAACTTTAGAAATTTATTAACAGATTATGGATTAAAGGAAAATCAGAAGATTAGTTTATAATGGGATAAATTGTATATTCTATCATAAAATAAAGATTGGGAAAGACTTAATGAATATATAGAAGATTAAGAATTTTGTAAAATTTGTAAAATCCCAACTTCTTTAGTTTAATAAAAAGATTTATTTGAAAAACTGAAACATCATAGCTTCAGAATTATAGATATTATTAGATAATTTAGAAAATCTTCATTTTAATTAAATTCTATCATTATGAAAAATTTGATATTTTTTTTTTTTATACCTAATGAATTAGAAATAGGTAATTAAGAAAAAACAAGATTATATCAAATTTTAGGAGAAATCATATGTAATTGTTGGATTTAATTTGAATATCATTATTAATAATTACAATAGTAAAATTAAAATTAAAATAACTTAATAAAATTATAAGAGATATTAACATTATTTTAGAAAGATTCATTTATATATTATGATAAAATACAAGAATTAATTAGATAATTATTAAATAAAAATAATTCAAATAGCTTAAAATTTACAGAAATTGAGAATTTGATAGACAAATTATTGCCAATTAATTTTGATCTATAAATTATTTTTTACATGATGTGCTTCTATTGTTCAATTAATTTTGATCAATATTATAAAAAAAAGTTAATGAAAGACAATAAAGAAAATTCATTTAAATTACTCAATTCATATATCTAATATAGAATGAGTACAAATAATAAACTTAATGGGTAATTTATGAATGTATTAGAAAAGTATTAAAAAAAATAATCCACTATAAAATAAGAATTGGAAAAATGGAAAATATGGTCTCTTAATGAATTGATAGAATATATTATTGAAGAAAACATTCATAATTTAAATTAAAAATAGCATATCATGAACTTAAATTCATAAAATGCAAAATATTTGAATTTATTATCAAATATCAGTAATGAAAAAAAACGTAAAGTAGCACATTTATTACAAAAACTAATATCCGAGGATAGTTTAATTTAAATTATTTTGAAATTATAAGAATAAAAATAATATTATTTAACAGAAGAATTAGAAATAATTCTTAGAATTGTGATAGAAAATTCAAATCGAAATATAGTTAATTTTTAATTACTTAATACTGTTTTATAGTAAAATAGAAGTTAATAAGAGATAGAGGATATAATAAAAGTATCTGAATATGATTAAAGTTTACCACTTGAATAGTAAATTAATTTGTTATCTAATTTTTCTAATGATTAGTTTTAATTGATTATTAATTAAGATGTAATTGCAAGTTCTTTAATTTAAACATACCTAAAGGATTTAAATTAAAATCATATTTATTTTTTTAATTTAAATAAAATTTTAGAAGTTTTAAGAAAATTGTTTTCATAAAATAAATAATTAGAATAATATAATGAATTTACAAAATTATTCTTTCAACTTTTACATTACTTGTTAAATGATCAAATACATAGATTAATATATGGAAATAAATCAAATTAAATATCTTTAGATGATTATCTAACAACAATAAGTATATTATATTAGTTATTCAGCAAATTATAAGGATAAAATAAATAGTAAGAATTAAAAATGGCTATTTAAAACATTTTATAATTTCCATAAATATATTGTTTTAATCATTATCTTGAATTATTTTTGGATAATAAAACTTTTGAATAAATAATAAATGTATTCAAATTAGTTTATTATTGGTAAACTGGATAGATATAATAATTAAATGTTCATGCTGAATAGTTCTGCAAATAAGATGCTAATTTTTATAAAGAACAATTTTTAAAAATAAATTACTTTAATATTGATTAATTAGAAATTACAAAATTACAATAAAAACTTAAGAGTAATATATATCCAAGATCTCTTAATATTTCATTAGAAGATTTTAATATTTCATTGACTTTATTAAATAAGTAATAATAAGAAGAATTAGTCAAAAATTGGATTAAGAATGTAAAAGACCCTGATGCTTTTAAGTAGTTGATACCATTTTTCTTTAATATTTTTAAAAGAGGAGAACCATCTACTGAATTTCTAACAATTATTAATGAGTAAATAACAGAAGATAAAGTATTGATGACCAAATATGGTTTTTTTAATTAAAAATCCATATTTTAAATATTTTATAATAATTCTGATGATGAATTAAAGGTGATGCTTTTAAAACTTATGAGTAAATAATATCCAATTCCATTATTATACAGAACTTCTTCAAATCCAGAAAATGGAGAATTAGACAAATTAACCTTTAATATGAATACTTTTTATGTATTTGAGCAAAATTATCCTATAATTAATTTAAGTTTGTCTAGTAATCAGAAAAGAATTGGTAAAACAGATTTAATTAATACAATATTTTATAGATAAGATAAATTTGAAATATCAGATGATAATTATTTGAATAAATAAACTATAGACATAATGTATGATTTTGAATTTAGTGGATCAAGAAATTTATCTGTTGCAGATGTTCATGGTTTTATTCCATTTGAAATTTTAGATGATATCTTACCATTGTTTAAATTGTGGATTATTTAATTAGATACTGAAAGAGAAATTAAAGAAACAATATAAAATTTAAAAAAGTTGAAATCTTTTTAAAATAAATAAAAAGTTGTTTGTTTTTTGATTCGAAATTCAATTAGACAATTAGATGAATAAGAAATAGCAGAATTAGAATTTCATAATATTTAATATAAGCAAGTCATTAATTTATCAAAAAATGATTTAAATAATGAAATGAGAAAGGCTAAAATTGCATAAGCATCTAAATTTTTATATGATATTATCTAAAAAAATTACTCTTAAACATTAAAATAAGAAGAATACTTTAATTTAATATGCTAAATGGCAAATTGTCCTTAAAATCAAATTTTTTAAATTAAATAAGCTCAAGATCTATTAAAGAATATTGAAATAGAATTAGAAAAATAAATGAAGGATGTAGATGGTTTCTATAATGAGAATGCTTTTCCTATAAGAAGTATTGAATGGTAAATAAAAAAAGAACGAGATGCCTATTTGAAAATTTTATAGGGACGCTAAAACAAATAATCTGAAGATAAACTCAACTAAATTAATTAAAAAATTAAAAAATTATAATCATCAATTAGTTATTAATAGCCATCACTAATTTTAATTTAATTTTGTAACCTATTAAAAAAACCCAATTATTATATATTATATCTTCATTTAGTTGATAAAATAAGAAAATTTAATGAAAAAAATACCTATTAACTTTAAAGGGAAAACTAAAAATTAAATGAAGAAATATCAAAATTAGATAAAGAGAAGAAAAAATTGACAAAATAAATATATTAAGGGATGAATTAGGATTTGAAAAACAAAATAAAAGTTATAAAATAATAAATAGATGATAAAAATGTAATATAAAAATAGAATTCCGAAACAATTTCAAAAACAAATATTGGAATAGAAGTATTTTGGAGAGAAATTATATCATAAAGAGAATAATGCTAACAATCAAATATTGATTTTGATCCTTCTATTATTGTTAAAGAAATGATCTAAAAAGGAGAACCATTTGAATTCTTAGATGGTGATTCATTAAGAATTGATTAACCATTCTTAAAAAAACTTATATCTAATTTTAAGGAATAAGGATAAGAAAGGATTTTAGTATTAAGTGTTTTAGGACCACAAAGTTCAGGTAAATCAACAATTTTAAATAAAATATTTGGATGTCATTTTTGGACAAGTGTTGGAAGATGTACAAAAGGAATCTATTTATAATTATTGAAAGTACACAACAAAGCATATTTTAATAATTTATTTGATTATATTATTATATTAGACACTGAAGGTCTTTAGCGTCCAAATTTTGAAGATTAAGAATTTGATAAAAAGATAGCACTTTTTGTATTATCAATAAGTGATATAATTATAGTTAATGTAAAAGGTGAGATAACAGAATAGTTTAAATCATTAGTTGAAATGTGTATATATAATCTAGGATAAATGAGAAATATTACAAGTTTAAAATAAATTACTTGGTGTTTTAATTAAAATAATGATGCAAATAAGGGTGATCCTTTTTTAACATAATTATAACCAATACTCTAAAAGCTAAATAACGAATTAAGAAATACTAATCAGGATAATGAATAAATAGATTATAATGAAATTCTTGGAATTACTTAAGAGAATATAAAGGTTTTAGGTATTGCATCAATTGAAAATGTATGGATAAAAAATGATAGGGAAGGAATATTTTATGATTGGCGTCAGTAAACTTTATTTGGAACATTCTCTTAAGAGGCTTATGAATATGGTATAAAAATGATTTAAGCTTATGTTAATAAGTTTGAAAATGAAGATAATTATTATGGAATAAAATAAATGGAAAATTTAAAATATTTTATAGATAAAATTGAAACAACTTGGTCAAGTATATTAAGTTTACCTGATTTACTTGAATTTTCAGAATTAGTACAGCATTAACAAAATTAATTTATGAGAAAATAATTTAATGAAATCACTAATAATTATTAATTTCCTACAAAATTATATTTTAGTTAGCAAATTCATGAAACAATTAATGAAAAAGATTAAGGTTTATCTATTGTTATTTTCACATAAATATTAGATTAATATAATTAAGAATTGAATAATTAATTTGATTAAATTAAAAGTGAATTATTAGTAAGATTGACAACAATAAAAAATGAAAATAAGATATCAAAGAAAGTATTCATAAAATATTAAAATATGCTAGATGATAGAATTAATAGTGAAAAAACAGCCATTTAATTGGCAATACACACAGAAATTAAGACTTAAGAAACTACTTTTTAACAGAAAATGGGTTTTATTAAAATTGATTAATTTATTTTAGAGTTGATTGGAAATGAAAATGAATTAAGACTATATAAAGAAGATGAAAATTAGATTAAAACAAAATTTGAAGAACTTTGGAATGAAATATTATAATAGGATGCTTAAAAGTAAAATGAAATATTTAGAGGTCATTGTGATGGTGTATTTTCAGTGATTAAAAAAAATTTTAACAACTATATTTTGACAACTACTCGTGAAGTTACTTATAAATATTAATATATGAAAAGTTTAATTTCATAAAAACCATAAAAAGAAGATTATTTAACAGCATTTGAAATATTACAACCAGAATTATCTGAACCTCAATTTATGGTAGTTGAAAAAAATATACCAAATAAGGATTATTAATATTTTATTGAAAACTTTTCCTAAAATATAGAAAAGAAATTAGCCAAATGTTCATCTACATAAGTTTTATAAATTAATTAATTTTATTCTTATAAAGTTGAAGTCAAATATATGAGTAAAGAAAATTTTAACCAATATTAATAAAAAGATATGTCTTATGATCTCTAATCCTACTGTAAAACAACTAACAAGATAGATAAATTTTCATTTATAAATTTTTTAAGAAATTTTTCTATATTTGGTTATTAGGTATAAGAATAAAAAGCGGAATAATTATTTAATTAGATTTAAAAATAGTCTTAATGTGATTAAACAATGCTACTTTCATGTTTTTAATCTGGAGATAGGTAATATTTTGGAGAAACTCAATATGATTTATCAATTGATATCATAAACAGACAATGTACACGCTTTAAAAAGTATATTTAAAATAATGTAATAATTATTGAATAATTCTAAAATAATGAAATAGAAAATAATAGAAAAAAGTTTAATGAAAATGAATTTTTTATAGTCTAACATAACATATAAGTTATTTTACAAAAAAATATTGGATCTTATGACAAAAATTAATAGTATTATGTAGATATGGAAAAAATTTTTAGCTATATATTGAATCAAAATTAAAATTCATAATATTATAATTATTTTAAGGAAAATATTACTAGATTTATTGAATAATTAATGAGTAACAACAACAGTAATGGATGGAAAAAAGTATATAGTGAAATTCATTCAATGATACTTGATGAAATTAAGGAAATGAAGGCAAAATAATATAGTTTTAGTTTAATCAAAAGGATTTTATAAAAAATAGAAAGTAAAATTAAAGATTTAAATATGTTATTTTCAGATTTTGGAGTTATTTTGACTTTTAGAGGAGAAAGATGCATATATTATTATGCTATTTTTAGTATTTGGAGGATTTTATGCTTTAAATAATATAAATTAACTAAGAAATCTTTATAATAGTTGGTTAATTAATACGAAACACAATATTTGAAATTTAAGGCTGATATCTAATAGAATAAAAAAGAATAAAGCAAAATCAGGGGATAATAATTAGCTGAAGAAATAATAAATTAAACAATTGTAAGATTTCAAATGAAATATTAAGGAGAAGCTTAATTAATATTGGATGGCCTTAAGAAAGAGACAAGTTTGGATATAATAAAGTAACTAGACAAAGATATTCTTGAAAGAAATAATAATGATGTAACAAATGATTAGATACTTCACTATATTAGAAATCAGACAGATTTTATAGAAAAATATGTCATAGAAAAAATTAATAACCTTAAATCAGATATTCAAACAAAATTTACAAATAAATTAAAAAATGATCTAAACTCATATCTATAAAAATTGGATGCAAACACTAAGTATTTATGTGATTATGTCATATCTCCTCTATAAGCAAAGGACTATTTTATTTAGTTGGAGAACCCAGAAGAAGCTCCAAAATTATTATATAAATTAGTTTTAAGCTGTCTTTAAGGATTAGTATAATAGAATTTATTAGAAAAAATAAAATAAGATAAAATTTATGCATTTTAAACTTAAGATTTTCACATATTTGAATTCCCATTATGTTCAAAAATTTAAAAGTCAGATGAAGAAATACAAATATTACTTAATTTTGTTTAAGCTTTTAAATAAAAAATTTAATAAGGTATTTAAAATATAGAATAATTACAAATTTAACTAGAAACATTAAAGATACAAGATGATCTAGATGCATAATAACTTAAATAAATTGGTTGCTTGTAATGTTGTCCACTGTGTAAAAGAAAATGTGATTAAGAAATTAATGATAGTAATCATAAACACTAATGTTAAAATGGACATTAATTAAGAGGTAATATTTTAATTTAAAAATAGGTATGAGTGGAGTCTTAATTGGTTGTCATCCTTCATTATATACATGTGAAGAAATAGAGGATGATTTTTAAATTTCATTATTGGAAACATCAAATGTTAAGTCATGGAAGGATATCAAATAAATTTATAATGGATGGATATTTAATTTTCTCAATTAAGATGAATTAAAATCTCAGAAAGAAAAATTCATGAAGATTTGGAATGATAATATTGGGAGAATGATATGCCAAAAATTAACTTAAGAAATTTAAAAAGATGTATTTTATGTAGCAAAGTAAGAAGTTGAATTAGGAGGAAATTAAAAAACTGCTAATTATATTTTGATATTAGATGACTCTGGTTCAATGGAGGGATATCCTTTTGATTCTGCTAAATAGTGTTTAGTTGAATTTCTTCATGAAATTCAAAAAAATCCTGATTCTAGGGTTACTATCATACTCTTCAATCACGAAGCTCGATGTGTTGTTGACTATTAAATCCCTAATCCTTCAGTTTAAGAGCCTTTAATAGAATTTTATGGTGGAGGAACGAATTTTGAGTAACCCTTAGAGATTGCCTGTGATAAAATTTCTTAAAATCCAGAATTTGAAAAATTTAGTTCGTAAATATCACTTTATAATTAGCCATTCTATATTCTTTTACACTGATGGATAGGCTGGCTATCCTTAAAAAGCTATGGAGAAATTTAGAAATTTACCATAAGAAAAAAAAGAAAAAATAGAGCTAATTGCCTGTTCTTAAGAAGAATCTCCAACTATATTGATCAAGGTTGTTGAATTCTGTAAATAATTTTTATCTTCTGCTAAAATACAAGCTTCAATGGAACCTTAACGGATTGCTTAAGTTTGGATAGAAGAAGTTAGCAAAGTAACCCATTAAATATTTTGATCCATTATTATAAAAAAAACAATTATTAAATAAGATTTAAGATATTTTTTTATGTATTTTAAAAATTTGAGAAATGAATATAAATTAGATAAATTAATTTTTAATCACATCCTTTTTCATAAAATTTGAACTGTAATATATAAATAAATGAAATAATAAGACATTAAATAAATAATTATTCTAAATATAGGTATTATTATTAGATTTAGATTTATTATTTACTTGATTCAGGAGAGATAAAAATTAAGATTAAATAATTTAGAATTCATTCAATTGTTATACTTCTCTTCAAATAACTAAGTAGATAAAATTTTAATCTTTATAAATTCAATTTACAACAAATTTTTGTTCAATTATTAATAATCGTGAATGATTTTTCGATAACATTTTTGATACTCTTATACATTATCTGAAAAGAATTAAAGATATTTAAATATGAATAATATTATATATATATTATTAAAAAATATTAGTATATATTAATATTATTGTATTTTTTTATTAAAATGAAAGTGGAAGTCTTTAGTGTATAAACCATTTCTGAAAATGGAGCACTTTGTTTATTATTGATAATTGAATAGAAAAATCATAAATTACAAATAATGCTAGATTGTGGATTGAATTAAAGATTGGAATGTAATCACATTAAACATTATATGAATAAAATTTAGAAAGTAATTAATTAATCTATAATAGTCAAAATTAGTGCTATTATCATAACCATCTATTGAGTATGCTGGAGGTCTTCCTTTAATTTCTGAATTCTAAATAAAAACTTTATCTACTAGTCCAATAATTGAATTTGGAGTCAGAAATTTTGTTGATCAATTGATTCATTTATAATAAGCATTTCTTAAAAAAGAGGTTATGGAAGAAGACTTTAAATAAGATTGGAAGAGAATTCTAGATGCTGCAGATGATGCTTATCGTCAAATTAAACCATTAAAATTTGGATAGAGTGAAACTATGATGTTTGAGAATGGATTATTTTAAGTGACTGTTTGTCCAATTAGAGCAGGTAAAGTTATAGGTGCATGTGCTTGGAAAATTTAAGTGAATACATTAAATATTATTTACATCACAGATTATAATATGATAAAAGAATTACACATAGATTCTTTGAATATAGAACGTTTATTAATTAAGAATTAAAAATAATCACTTCTTCAAAGAGAAATTGTTGATTTACTGATTTTAGAAAATTATCCAAAGGAAATAATATAACCTTAAAATAATTAATAGATATTACCTCCTTAGTTTTTTATTAAGTCAAAAATGGAAGAAGAATTGAGCATATATCATAAGAAATAATAAGGATAATTAATATTTGCATTTTATCCTAATGAAAGAATTTTAGAGGGAATTAAATCATTACATTAAATATTTAAGGAAAATGAGAAGTATGTTGGAATGAAATGGGATATAAACGTTTTATATCTTGATTTAGTTGATAAGGCTAGAACATTTGGAGAATTTTTATGTTGGGATAATATATAATCACTTAATTATGATAATTAATCAAAAATTAAATCATAAATTATACTTACATCCTATAATAATCTTTTTTCTGGTCCATTCTATTAAGAAAATTTATTAACTGATCCAAATAATACAATTATAATATTTGATAAGCCTCCTTGTTTAATTAATGAAAATATGGGTAAGATTAGAAAGAGTTTTGAATTGAATTTATAAATAAAAGAATCATATTCAATAAATTTAAATTATATAAGAAAGTAAAAAATAATATATATATTTTAGATTATTATTAAAAACAAATGAAAAAGAAAATAAATTAATATCTAATGCACCTAGTACAACTTATTTACCAGGTAGTACAACAGATTTAGTAGAAACTTAGAGTGTAGATATTGGAATCTAAAAGACAGATGATTAATTTTCAGTATTAAGTGATTAGAAACCAAACTTAGAACCTTTATTTGATAAAAATAATTATAAGTCACATAATTAATTGTATTTTATAGAAAGTGAAATAAAAGGTAAAATAATATATATCTATATTATAGAATAAATATAATTTACAACTGCATAATTAGACAAACCACTAAGACCTATGTAATAACTTCATTTAAGAGATGATTATGGATCAGATATACCTAAATATATTAAATTAATGAAGAGTAAAAGAAGATAATAAATTGAAACACAAACTTAATAGATGGAAGAAGAATAAGATGCAGAGAATGAAAAATAAAAATTGTAAGAATCAACTTTTGCTATGCCTAATATGAATAAAGTTTTAAATTAAAAAATAGTTACAGTTTAAGCAATGGTATCTGTAAAATAATTACCTTAAAATTTAAGAAATGCTTAAATGTTATTAGAATATTTAAATCCTTAGAATCTATTAATTTTAAATCCAAGTACTAAACCTAGATAAGGTGGAATTTAATTAGCAGTTGCAAAATAAAGTTAGGCTTAATCACTAATTTCATTAAATGATGGATAAAATTTACCTTTTGTAGAAATGTAAGAGAAATAGATAGAGATAAGATCAGCAATATAAGTAAAAGGGAAATTAGAATTGAAAATCTTTAGAAATACATAAACAATGAGTTAAATTTTAAAATTAGTAGCTACTTAAAATAAGAAACCGATTTGTCATGAAAATATTTAATTGTTGGCCTTATATGAAGAATTAAAGAAGAGAGGAGATTTAAAATTGGAATTAGGATTTTGTTAAATAAGTCTAAATAATGGTTAAGTAATAGTAAGTAAAACAAAGTAAGGATTCAAGGTAGAAGGATATTTCAGTAATTTGTACAAAGAGGTTAGAAATTTGATAAAGACATTAAATATCTGATTTGATATTGTTATGAAATAAACGCATGTATTTAATATTATATATAAAATGAATGGAGGTCATCGTCTTAAGTTTTAGATATCCTTTAGTGTAGATGAAGTAAAACCAGAGATTATTACTCTTAATCAATTTGATGATGCTCTAAAATTTGAGGATAGATATGAAGCATTATAAACTTTAGGTATAAACATATAATAATTTTGAATAGGTTAAGGTGCTCATGCTGTAGTGAAGGTAGCTAGAAAGAAAGATACAGACGAGATATTTGCAGTGAAAATAGTGAGATCTGGAGATTAAGAAATATAAAACAACGTTAAGAGAACTTTTAATAACACTAGATGTTTAAGACATCCAAATATTGCATAGGATATTGAATTATTTATAAATGAAAAGATGGAAACTTCATATTTAATAATGGAGTATTGTGCATTTGATTCATTAGAATCAATTATTAAGAAACGAAAATTGACAATTATGGAACTTAAAATAGTGATGAAATAATTACTTTTAGCAATTCAACATGCTCATTAGAAAGGTATCTGTCATAGGGATTTAAAACCTGATAATGTTCTAGTTGATTTGAGTGAGAATATGGATTAATCTGAAGTACGAGTAAAAGTAGTAGATTTTGGAGTATCAAGAAGATTTTAATCAAAAGGATAAGAGATTGAAATGTTGACAAAAACAGGTAATATATTTTATTGTGCTCCTGAAATTTATCATAAATCTTGTTATTCTAAAGAAGTTGATATATGGGCAATAGGAGTAATAGCATATTAATGTTTATTTTAAAAACTTCCATTACATTCTGATGAATATTAAGATTTTGTTGAGTTATTAAGATGTCCAGATAAATGGAAATTTAAGGAACATTTAAAAGAATTAGAAATTCCTCTATAAAATTTAATTATTGGAATGTTGGAGTATGATAGTTAAAAGAGAATTACTATAGATGATGCATTAAGGAATTCTTTTTTTGAATAACAATAAAGAGAAAGTACTCCTTTGATAATTAGTACTAATTTGGAGAATCTAATTTATAATAATAATAAACATATGAAATAATTATAAACAAGTTTAGCTATTAATAATAATTATTTTGGTAATCACAATTATAATTTGGGCAATATGATTTAAAAACTTTAAGGACAAAATAATTAAGAAAGAGTAGATGTAGAAGATTTGACAAAAAACTTTGGAAATATTCATATATTATAGAAATAGAATGAAAAAAGAGGACCAATATAATTAATGAATTCTATTGGTAGTAGTAATGTATTAATGAGTAAATTGGGAAGTAGATAAGAAATATCATATTAAACTCAATCTGATGCATTAAGTATAATGATTAATTATATTATTAGGGAAAATATGTGATATCAAAGGTTCTGCAGATCCTTTTGGTGATTTTGCTATTTAATAAAGTTAAGAATTAAAAGAATAATAAGAATCTAATTCTCAATAGAATAATAATACTTAGAAGTTATTTCAATAATTAGGATCTTAAATTGAATCTAGTATAAATCTCACTGCTGAAGATCATACTAAAGTAATCAATCAATTAGACAGTTTGGGAGTTCCAAAAAGGAGTTCTGTACTTGCTTAATTCCTTGGTGATTTGGGAATAAAAGAAGTTGATGAGATAACTGAAGACTTTTGAATTATTTGAATATATACAACATCATTAATCTTTATTAAATTCCATTCTTTAATCTTTATATAAATATTAATAATTCTAAAGTATCTACATATACATATTATAAAACAATAGGAAATCATTAATAATGATAGATATCCTTAGATAATCTTGTTTTACTATTTGTTACTTGATTGTTATTATATTTATAATAAATCAAGTATATTATATCAATAAAATCCTTAAAATTTCCACTTTATTATATTAATAATCAATGATGTTTATAATGAATATCAGCAAATTGTCTTAAGTACTCCATAGCTGGTTTTGGAAACCAAATGGATTCAGTTTTCCATCCTTCCAAAAACCCTATATGTCCTCCTGCCTTTGTTACACATATTATGTTTTTAGCACTCTATTACAGCAGATGTTATTGCAAAGCCTTGATATGGCAAACATCATCATCTTCGCTACATATACATAAAGTTGGAATCTAAAATAAATTATATTCTTACATTTATTAATGGGAATCTATTTGCTAATGAAAAATGCTAATAATAATCTTTCACACTCTTATATCCATACATCTAAATTACAAAATTTGCATCAAAATCACTTATCCAAACAGCTGATAATGCTCTATCAACAACTTTCTAACATTCTCTAGGATATCTTAAGTAACATTCTTAATTTGGGTTGCATTCCTTCAATTTTCCTTATAAAATCTTAGTTAAAGCAATATCCATTGAATAAGACAAATATTTCTAATTAATCAACATTTGATGTGGAGCACACACTAAGACAGCTGCATCAACTAATCTAATATTGTGAAATCTCCCTAAATAATTACCTAATTATGCTCCTCCATAAGAACAACCTATTGCTAATATTTTATTAAAATGATATTTCTATTTCAAATAACCTAAACAATGATGTAAATCAGCAGGTAAATCAACTCTTATTCTCTTATTCTAAATAATATCATTTTCAAAATGTTCATAATCTCGATAAGGATCATCATAATTTTATGGATTCATATTTAATCCATAATTATAGAATTTTGGTTTAAAAGTAAAATCTCCATCTTTCTAAAGAACTCTATAATTGTAAACACATATATTATGAAAATGTTATTTATGAGCTTCACTTACGATAGTATTTATATAGCCATCCTCAACAGTTCCTGTTAAACCAGGCATTATAAATAATAGTGGTTTATTTTTGTCAATTCCATGTCCTCTATCTATCCAATCAATTGACATTCCAGTATTTTCAATATACTCCTTATTTGATGAATGTTTTTCTTTTGGATGCTTAAATGTAGATAAAACTGTATGAAGAAAACCATTCAAATATGGAGTTGGAAAATATGAAAACAATGATGGACATCTCTATATGATTTATCTTATTTCTTCATTTTCTTTGTAAATCAATTTTACAGCTGGCCTTTTGTATTGGTACACTTGATATAGCATAAACAATATCAATAAAATGATGAAAATATAGAAAAACATACTTGCTGATGATAATTCTATATTTCCTAAATTTCTTAATTTATTAATTTATAATAATATTACAAACTCTTGTCATGTTAAGAATTTCTAAGACTTTATTTTTAAATCTTGCTAATATCAATCGATTTGCTTATCATACAATTAATGATCAAATAAAACTTACAGATTATTGTATTTAGGTATATATATAAATAATGAAGGAAATTTAAAGAAAATAAACAAGCAAATACACCAACAAATTCTTAAGATTAGGAGTTGATGGTGCATGTAATATCTTATCATTTATAATATAGAAGGATGTTCAGGATTTAAATACTCTTTTAATTTTGATGATTAAATTTTAGAAGATGATTATGTTCTAAAACAATAAAATGAAATCATATTTGTTGTTGATGAAATTACACTCAAATTTGTTAATGGATGTGTAATAGATTATGAAAATAAAATGATTAGAGCAGCATTTTATGTAATTCTAAAATTTTATTATTTAGGTCTAAGAAAATCCAAATGCAGAAAAATCATGTAGTTGTAAAGCATCATTTGCTCCAAAACCTGAGTTATTATGATTATAAAATAATTAATTAATATAATAATCTTGAATACTACAAATTTAACAAAATATTTTAACTCTTTAGAATTATTTACTTCATAACAAAAGCTTAATAAAGATGAACTATTCCAATTTAACATTTATTTAAATTTATGAACTAAAAACATAATGTAATTCATAACTAACATGATATTGATAAAATACCTAATCGAAATAGAGTTCGATCTGTTTTCTCTGATGTGTCTAATCTAAAATTCTCTTGTATGAATTTTTAAGGAAAACAAAATTATCAAAATATAAAAGAATAATAAAAATCCTAAAAAACTAAAAGAAGAAATGCAATAATTCCCTGTTTGACTAAATTTCCTGATATATATATTAGTTATCCAGAAATCAAGACAAATACTTATAAAATACGTTAATATTCTATATTAGAGAAACCTATACTATCTTATCATGAAGCCTATCATTTAGAAATACGATAATTTGAAAGAGAAATTGAATAAAAAGTAAATATGTTTTTATTACATTAAGTAATATGATAGTAATTTTGATATAAATTAACATTGTTTTACAGAATAATAATTTGAAAAAGCAATAGATTGGATGATATATTAAATTTTTAGATTTGAAAGTTTTAGTTATGAATCATTATTTAAAACAATAGAACTGATATATATATATTTAAGTAAGACATAGTAGGTGAGATTTAAGGATTTAGAATTAATTTCTGGTTGTTGTATTTACTTATCATCAAAATTAGTTGATTTAAATCCAATTTATATTGATGATTTAATTAATGAAGTAAAGTTGTAGTTAATTTTAGGTTTTGGAATGTAGATTTGATTATTAATAAGTATTGAAATAAGAGTAGTTAATATGTTAAACACTTAATTATAATTTGCTTTGCACTTGTTCTTTATAAATAGTTTATCGAATTATGTAAGAGATTAGATAAGATTTGGATTAATTTTATGATCCTGTGAAAATTGAGAATTTAAAGAGATAAATATTGGATAATTTATTATTGATGGAATTTGGAAATAAATTTAGATAAATTTCATAATGTAATAGGGCTGTTAGTTGTATATTATTGACAATGATGGAAAATAAAATAGATAGACGAGTTGTAAATATTTGATTATTATTAAACGTGTTAAGCAGTTTTGGAGAGTGTAGATCATCTAGAAATGAACATAAATTGGATAGAGAAGAATGCAATAGAATTAAAACAGTATATTTAATAAAATAAAGATAAATATGGAAATAGGAACTATTTAATATATTGAATTTTTATGCGCCAATTAATAAATATTATAATTTAAATTATGTCAGATCAATGCACCAAGGGCACTAATTGGGGTGTGGTTTCCATTGATGATAAAAATTTATGTATCAAATATAATCAGAGCAACATAATCAAATTACCACTAAAGAAAGTTGTCAATTCGAACACTTAGAAGAATGATATCGTACTTTAGTTGAGTACAGATGATTATGGTGAAAAGTATGTATATAATATTAACCTAAAAGTGATGATATGCTATGCGAAGTCAGATTTTACATTCCTCCTCAAGAGTAGGTAATATAGTTGAAATAAAATAGAAATTGAAACAAGAAAAAGAAAAGAAGAAATAAGAAAATGAGGAAAATTAAAATAGCATGGAAGAAGAGGATGATGGAGCAGATGAAGATGCTGAACCAACATTCTAATAGAAATTATAAAATGAAATATTAACTAAAGCAAAAATTGGTTAAAGTAGTGCTGATTCTATTCTAACTATTCATGATGTTCCCTTAATTGTTCCAAGGTATTTACTTAATTTACTATATTTATTAGAGGTAAATATACAATGGATTTCTTTACAAAAGATATCAGATTTCATGGAAATACCTATCAATTTACAACTGATTATAAGGGAATTTCAAGATTCTTTTTGTTACCTATGCCTGATGAAATTAATCTTTCTTTTGTGATTGGTTTGGAACACCCTTTCAAATAAGGTCAGACAACATACAACTTTTTGGTCATGTAATTCAAAAAGGAAGTTGAAAATGAAATTAAACTAAAATACAGTCGACAAAAATTAGATGAAATTGGTTGGAAGGGAATTAAAGAAGAATATTCAGGACCACTCTATGATATTGTATGTGAAGTCTTGTCTGAAATTACAGGAATCAAAGTTGTATCTCCCAAGAATTTCAAGAGTAAGAATGGACTATTTTGCTTGAGATGTTCTGTTGGTCCTCATTCAGGATTTCTATTTCCATTAGAAAAATCATTAATATATTTATAAAAGCCAGTATTACATATAAAACATGAAGAAATAAAAGAGGTCGTTTTCTAAAGAGTAAATATTATTTTATATGTTAGATTGGGTCAACTAATTTAAATAAATTTTTCGATGTTAAAATTATATACAAAAACTAAAATCAATTATTTTCAGGAATAGAAAGGGATGAACTTGACAATCTGACTTAATATTTCTAACAAAAGAAAATTGCCGTAAGAAAACTTCAAGATGAGGTTCCTCATCTCCCATTAGATGATAGTGATGATGAAGAAGATGATGATGATAGTAGATCAAAGAAGAAGAATGTATATATTTCTTAAATAAATATTTTAGAAGACCAACATAGATCCAAATAATATGGATTCTGATGATGACGATGATGATTTTCATGCTGGAGAAGATGAAGAAGATGGTAGTGAAAGCGAAGGAAGTGATGAACCAGAAAGTGCTTCCAAAAATAAAAAATGATTATTCATTCATCAGATCATATTCTTTATATTCAATTACACTTTCAAGTTTATTAAAACATATTTCAAAAGTTTGTATACTATTGTTCCTTTCTTCTCTTCCTGTAATCGTATTGGCTATTATTTTAAGTATAATAAGAATTGCAATTCTCCTCCTCAAATGAACTTTGGTTCATTTACATTTATGGTTGTTATTAAAAATATTGAGGTTGAGGCTCTTCTAAAAAAGTAGTCTTCATCTTAAAGGCAGCAGGCTCAGAAGTTAATAAAGGATGCTTTGATATTTAATATCGCACACTGTTCTTCTCTAATATTTGTAATACTTCATCACTTTTTTTTCTTACCCATTCCATTAGTCCATCAATTGATGGAAATGATATTATTTGTGCTAAGATATCAAATTGTCCTTAAAAATATGCCTATCTTTCGAGATTGGCGGCTGTCTTATGGAAATTTGATAATGAACTTGTTGTTTTCTAGAATTACTATTTTAGTCGATCAAGAGAATTCATAACTTTAATTAATTCAATTGCAATATTATTGTATTATTTATATGATAATTCTTCAACTGACAGATCTTTGTCTCCATGAATTTACCATTCCTTATATAAAAACCCCCCCTATTGCAAAAAATTCAGCCACTTAATAATTGAAGTTCTCACCATCTTTAAATCCATATGAGAACGAGTCAAGTATAAACATTCCTGCAAATAAACATACATATCCTGTTAATATTAATAAAGCTTAAACATAGGTAAGTGCTGCCTATTTTAAAAATGGCTGAACCATTCCAATCAAAAATCCTACCAACATCAAGCAAAAGGCGGCAATAGAGAGACTCAAATAGCTTGAATATTTATCAGGGTCAGATGTAGGTATGTTTGTAATTAATGAGGCTGCTTTAGTATGATTATCATCATTCTCTTTCAAATATGAATAATATGCAAGATTGCAAACTATGACTAGTGACATGAATGTGTTACTCATTACTAATCTCATCTTGATATCCCTAGATATTAAATATAAATATCATACAATCCCATTCTTATCTTTTATTTTTATTAAAAATATTACTAACATCAAAATTATGCTCAACCCTTAAGTATTGACTAGATTCTTAATATAAAAAACTTATGGATTCAAAATATCTGTCCCTCAATTAGTCTATTTAGAATTTATAGATTATCTATTATTGGCAACCCTTTTAGTCAAAGATGTTAAATTTTATAGAATATAATAATATCCATAATATTTAAAAAAGGATCTGAATAATAATATTTAATACTACTATATTATAATATTAATTATAGATATAGATTTATAAATGTATCTTATATGTGAAATGATGTAAATTATCAATTCAATCTATCAAATCATTCTATCTAGGTTAATATTATATTCCATTCTAACAATTTTATGTCAAAATTTGTGAATGATCTTCTTTCCAATTGCTTATTGATGTTGAAATTTACCCTAGGCTTTCTGTATCATCATTATTTTAAATTTCACTAAAGAAACCTTTTATTTATTTACTCAACTTATTAATTTTTTTTTCAATGTTTACAGAAATTTATTTATTAAATTCAACATAATCGTTGAAAATTTATTATGATGAAATATGCCTCTCTTATAGATTACTAATTTTTGGGCGTGGGTTTATTAATTAAAATTAGAAACCATCTTTTGAGGTGATAGCATCAATTGATGAAAATAATTATTTCACATCTTCAATTGCTTAATCTGATGTAGATATCTTATCGAGAATTTTTCCAATTTTTTCATAAGTTTAACATGTCTCTAAATTCTAAAAATTGGAGATGGACCTAAATAACTAAAAAAAATTACTCTTTGATTTAATTCAGAAGATTATCAAAATTCCCATTAATAATTTACTTGATTTATATTACCTCCTTTTCGAAACTCTCAAAGATTTTGGATAAACTAAATAATATTAAATAAACTATGAACCAATATTTATTATTCATTTCTTCATCATCTCTCTTTTTTTTTTGGTACTGTTATCTGTACTCTATTAAAAACTTTTTTAAGGCCGTAACTCTGTGGCCTTCATGAAGTTCTAAACATAGACAACATAGAAGTCTTTCTTATTTACAAGTTTGGTCAATGCAAATTGTATTTAACCATTCGTCGGTATGACACTCTTTTTGACAATAATTATATGCTATTTAAACTTTTTGCATACTAATAAATAAATATTAAGTGAAACATCATAATTAATAATTCATTAGTACAAATGTGTTCACAATTTTATTTTTTCAAACTAAACTTTTTTTTTTTATGGACTAAAAATGTAAATATTCTTGACTTTCTCCACTAATTTTTGATTTCGATTGGTTATTGATCTTTATGTTGCACTCTCTCTTATATCTGGAAGATTAGACAATGATTTAATATGATTTATATTTCTTGTAGTAAATGCAGTTCTTAATTTGATTGGAGACGAACTATCAGTTTCTGTGAGACTTTAAAGTTAATGATATTACAATTAAACCTAGTCCATCATTTTTGATATTTAATTTGTCTTAATACTTTATTAACGTTCATTAACATAATTTTGAATCGAGGTAAATGTCTTTCTTTATTTTTTGCTTAAATTCAAGACAACCTTTGGTTAATCTGAATTTTATTCTGTTTATTATTTCTTTAAAGTTCGTTTTGCAACCGGAGAATTATTAAGAGATTAAGAATATCTTTTCAATTCTTCTTGAAATTAAATATATTTCTCTGAATTCTACATGTTACACAATAGTTCTTGAGACTCTCTCATTTAACCAAGTTGTAACTCAAATTATCTAATAATAATGGTTGGAGATTTCTCTTCTAGTTTTATAGGAGATTCATCCAACTTTTGTAATTATGATGCTCCTAAACTACTTTAGGTTTTGATATTGTTTGAATGTTTTATTAAAATACTTGACATTCTTTTGAAGATAGATTTCTTTCTCATTTCATTCTTTCTTATGGCTTTTTATTAAAGATGTTAAGCAACAAATGTAGTTGGATACAGTGTTGAGAGTCTGACCTATAATTCATATTAAAAATATTTACTAATTTATCGCTAGCTCTCTCGTATTCGCTTCTTCTTCTGATTCTGACAATGTCTTAAATGACATTTGCAGCCTCTATTTAACTTTTACTTTTATGCAATCTATTGCATTATTGCTTCATCCTTAAAACTTTGTGATAGGGTGTTCTTGTATTTAAATAGGACTTTCTTTAAGGCGACAAGAGATTATCCTCTTATACCATACCATCTTTATTACAAATCTAAATAAATTTCAAATTTTCTATCGAACATAGTGTGTCAAACTTCTCAAAATTACGTGACTACTTTACTATAAGTATTGAAAATTTATTTACTTTTTGTTTAATGATTAGAATGAGAAGATTCGACATCCATTCTTCTATCAATGATCTAATAATTGTCGGATAGCTGATTTGGCACAAATCTTCTATTTGATTTTTATGATAACATTATTATATTTATAAATTTAGATCTTTTATTAAGTATCCAATAATTAAATATTACATAATAGTTGTTCTACTCTGAAAATTACAATCTTCCTGTTTTTAAATAACTCCATTCATATTTATTTGATTTTATTCATCACTAAAATTGTCTCTTTCACTTCACTATTTATAAAATTAATGAAAAAATCACTTACTTTTGATACTGATTCTAAATATAACTTTTCTTAGAAAATACATCTCTTAAGACATTAAAGAAACAAAGATAAAATAAAAGAAGCCATCTTAAAATTAGAAAATCCTTTTGATCCATCATAAATTTCATAAGCATTAAAATGTCTTGAAAATTAATTTCAAAGAAGAGCTTTATTGGATTAAATTATATTAATTAGAAAAGAAAAACTGAAGATGTAGGAATTGGAGAAAATCAATTAAATGAAAGACTTACTAACGAAAGTTTCAAGAAAACTATCCCTAATAAAAAATTAACAAACTAAATACACTAGAGATCAAGATGATTTCAAAATTTTATAAGAAGAAAGAAACAAATTTGATAAATTTCAGTATGAAAATCTTAACTTTCAAATTAATGAGGACAAACATTAATTAAGAAGGCTTGCTAGTTTAAGTTTTTTAACTAAAGAGACAGACAAGTGGAAAATTAATCCATAATAATAAATAGTTTAACAAAATTTATTTGTTCGTAGAAAAACTTAAAGAAATGCATCTTTAATTGTTAATGCAGTCTAAAAGAAATAAATGTATTTATTTATATATTATAAATATTAGTTATCTTTAATCAGAACAGAATACCACAAATTCACTTATTATATAAAATAACTCATTATAATTTCAAGATTGACCTANTAGTTGGATACAGTGTTGAGAGTCTGACCTATAATTCATATTAAAAATATTTACTAATTTATCGCTAGCTCTCTCGTATTCGCTTCTTCTTCTGATTCTGACAATGTCTTAAATGACATTTGCAGCCTCTATTTAACTTTTACTTTTATGCAATCTATTGCATTATTGCTTCATCCTTAAAACTTTGTGATAGGGTGTTCTTGTATTTAAATAGGACTTTCTTTAAGGCGACAAGAGATTATCCTCTTATACCATACCATCTTTATTACAAATCTAAATAAATTTCAAATTTTCTATCGAACATAGTGTGTCAAACTTCTCAAAATTACGTGACTACTTTACTATAAGTATTGAAAATTTATTTACTTTTTGTTTAATGATTAGAATGAGAAGATTCGACATCCATTCTTCTATCAATGATCTAATAATTGTCGGATAGCTGATTTGGCACAAATCTTCTATTTGATTTTTATGATAACATTATTATATTTATAAATTTAGATCTTTTATTAAGTATCCAATAATTAAATATTACATAATAGTTGTTCTACTCTGAAAATTACAATCTTCCTGTTTTTAAATAACTCCATTCATATTTATTTGATTTTATTCATCACTAAAATTGTCTCTTTCACTTCACTATTTATAAAATTAATGAAAAAATCACTTACTTTTGATACTGATTCTAAATATAACTTTTCTTAGAAAATACATCTCTTAAGACATTAAAGAAACAAAGATAAAATAAAAGAAGCCATCTTAAAATTAGAAAATCCTTTTGATCCATCATAAATTTCATAAGCATTAAAATGTCTTGAAAATTAATTTCAAAGAAGAGCTTTATTGGATTAAATTATATTAATTAGAAAAGAAAAACTGAAGATGTAGGAATTGGAGAAAATCAATTAAATGAAAGACTTACTAACGAAAGTTTCAAGAAAACTATCCCTAATAAAAAATTAACAAACTAAATACACTAGAGATCAAGATGATTTCAAAATTTTATAAGAAGAAAGAAACAAATTTGATAAATTTCAGTATGAAAATCTTAACTTTCAAATTAATGAGGACAAACATTAATTAAGAAGGCTTGCTAGTTTAAGTTTTTTAACTAAAGAGACAGACAAGTGGAAAATTAATCCATAATAATAAATAG